TTGCTATTGGGTTGGATTTAAATACGTTTATTCATGATTTCTATAAAGTGTCAACATTGCAATTATTATATCAAAGCGACATACATCCAATTAGACAGACGTACAACATTGCCTCAATAGTTTGTGAAGACAAGACAGGCCGTATCCTTCCTCCAAATGTAAAGCACTCTACTGGTAGGGCCACGAAAAAAGAGACTTGTTGCTCTTGTTGAAAAGAGATCGACAGTAAAGTGGGGTAGATGCGGTCGGCTAGGACACAATCAGAGACGGTGTAAAAACGCACTCTGACATTGATTTGTTCTTTTTTTTTTTTAATTTGTAAGCTTTACTGTCTTTTTTTATAATAAACAGTGAGGGTTATTTTATTATTTGTTTTCCAGTCAACAATTACACCATCACCAATTTGGGGTCGGATAGAGTCGTTACAAATAATTACCTTATATAAGTTGCATTTTGATAACATAAAATTAAACAGTTCATACATAATATAATCATGTAGCTACTCCATGGTCAAAAAGAAAGCATACAAATTTAGCATAAGAGAATCTTATCTCTAGTTATAAAACGCAACCAGATTTAATTGTCCATACATAGTATAAGTACGTAGTTAACCTCATTTTCAAAAGAAAGCATAAAGAAAGTTACAACAAGTGGTAACTTCCTGATCCTACGAGTAAAAAATACTAGCCAACAAAAAAGGCAGAACCATGTACTCATCAAAAACTTACTGAACACCAACTTTTGGAAGTTGATACAGCATGGATGGATGGAAGACAAACATAAATAGTATAAATATGATAGATGGAGACATAAACAAAAATAACAAATATACGATTGGATTTCGAAATAGAATTAAACATTTCATGCATAGTATAAATATGTAGTTACTACATGGTCAAAAGAAAGCATAAAAAATTATCATAAGAGAATCTTATCTCAAGTTATCAAATGCAACCAAATATATGATTAAATTGTCTATACACAGTATAACTACGTAGTTGCCCCATTTTCAAAAGAAAACAAAAAGAAAGTTACAACAAGTGGTAACTTCCTGATCCTACAAGTAAAAAATAGTAGCAAACAAAAAAGCATAAACAAAGTATGTCCATATTGTTGGGTTTGGTGCCCTTAGCTCGTGTATTTGTAATTTATGAACAAATTATTTACTCAATAGAGAGTTATTTTATTATTTCTTTGCATTACTCATATTCCAATAAACTAAGATTAAAGGTTACTTAATGTAACTAGAGCAATATATATTTGATATAAAATATATATGTGATATACAGTATATATTTAATATACAATTTACATATTTGATATAAAATATATATTCGATATATAAGTGGATAATGTTCCAGTAATAACCTAAATGGTCTATAGTACACGGATAAGGTTGGGAGACCTTATTCTGGTAACATTATGGATACGGCCCGCTTTGTAATATTTACAAACGACTTTATCCAAGTCTTTCATGTAGAGACATGTGAGTGGAGGTATCTTATACAATGAGTTTGTATAAGACTAGACCGCGAAATAATTAATCATTGGCTCCAACATCGTTAATCAATAGATTGTTTATCTCATAGGATGACCAAGTAACTCAATCTTAATCTTGAGCGAGTTATGGACTTCTGTCTATAAGGGATCGTCCCTTGATTTGTATGGGTGAGAGTGTCCCAGATTGCCGACTCAATAATCCTACCATTTTGGGGACGAGACCGAGTGGGGAGCTGGGAACATAACTACGCAAGATAGAATTCACTCATTCCCAACTTTAGGGAAGTAGATGAGTGTTCTCATACATGCTGACTCTGGGACTTGAACTAGGGGTCTCATCCTCTTAGTGGCCCGAGAGCGACAATTAGTAGAGATTAAAAAACCAACGGTCTATTATGTAAACTTCATTTATTTAAAGGAACAATTAGTAGAGAGCGACAAATGTATTATCGAAGTAAATTTTGGGGGAAGAATCCCAAACATGTAGTCGAAAAAATTTAGAGGAAGAAGAAAGGGGAACTCTCAAATCAGGCTAGCGTGGAGTATATACCCTTGTAGACAATCCTTCTCGTTAAAGTCTGGTTTCGTTGAGTCATTGCACCCGAAGCTTTACTCCTTCTAGGTGTGCGGCGTGTGTGTTCGAATGGAGCTACAAAAATGGAGTTAGGACATGTGAAAAAAAAAAAGGAAGCATGTGGCGTGAAGGTAAGAGAAAATGAAGACGAAATAAGGTAAGAGAAAGAAGGGAAGGTGTCGTTTTGTTAACTACCCTCCATTTCTTTTCTTTTTTTCTTTTAGTTCTCCTCATCTGATTTTTTTTAAAAGCCTAATTTAAAAAAAAAAACTAATTAAAATATTCCTCCCTAATAATATTTACTCTCTTATTTTGTAAATCTTATATTAAAGAGGCTCTGAGTATTTATTATTTTTAGTATTCTTTTAGTTGTGTTCTTTGTAGTTTGAACCCAAGACCTCAAAGATATTAGTTGAATCTTCGAGCTATCCGTCAGAGACAATCTTTTCTTTTCTTTCTTTTCTATTTTTTTTTTCTCTTTTCTCTGTCCTTTCTTTCTTCATAATTTTTTTTAATAATACATTTTGCCACATGTCAACTTTTCAATGGTATGTTTGGATGATTCAGCCGCCACATCAACGTCACATGTATTTTTTCATTCAACTTCATTCAGCTGTAACTTCTCCGTTTGAGCTCTGATTTGGGTGATTCAAAAGATGTAGGAATAGTTGTTTTCGAGCTCGATGTTGTGAAACACTTCAAAACACTAAAGTTTTCAATAAACAAAATTAGGTTTGTTATCATCAAAATATTAATTAATTAATTTGAGATTAAGGGTGAAAAGGCCAACACCTTCTTAAGATATGCTTTGTCATAGTGTATGTTTACCTCGTACTCTTTCTTGTCATCCTCCATTATGTAGTGGATTTTTTAGGAACGACCAATTCCAACCAGTTTATCCTTTACTAGACTAGCAATCACCTAACTACTAGCCAATTTGTGGTTGTGATCGAGTACCTATATAGAGCATGTGTTAATACCCGAATACTCAATTTGATAACCCGCTACTAATTCTTTTACTTTTGGTAAATCAAAAGGTAATTTCTCGCATTCTTTAAGTCTGCTGTCAAATCCCAGGTAGTGGAAACTACCAAGTTGGAGTATGGTATGGTAGAGGAAATTTTAGGTGGAGCGGTGAAATGCATGCGTAAAGATAGAAAGAAACACCAATGGCAAAAGCACTCTTCTAGGCCGACACTGACACTAAGAGACGAAAGCTAGAAAAGCGAATAGGATAGATACCCCAGTTGTCTTCGTTGACATACTTGGATACAAAAAATGTTAACAACTTCACTAATTAAGGCATATTTTCTAGATTTAAAATATTAGAGATTCGAATCTCCATTCTGTGTGCCGAACTAAAAAAGAAAGAAAAATAGGTAAAAATAATTTTTAATTACTCTTTATTTATTTCTTGACGTTCAACCTCATAATCAAAAATATTTTTAAAGCTCTAAAAATACTTGAAAATATTAATAAAAATGATGTATTTCGCATTTGGGTTGGTTATTTCTCCACGTAGAAGACTTAAAATATAAAAATGTGATCTGTAAACAAACTTAGGATTTCAAAAACAACAAACAACAACGTTTTCAAATGAATCGTGACGATTATGTTCGAGTTCTCAAGTTAGTAAAAGGTTGAAGAAGTCATGCTCTACCACCAAGAAAGGTCATTGTTCTTTGTTCAATTTTCTTGATGGTTTTAAGTGATTTCAGTTTTTTAAGTTCGAAAAGCACCAACTGGAAAACAATTTGGAACTCATAGACAAGGCAGGATATGAGAGATGATACATTACAAGAATTATATTATCCATAACATACCATTGATTGGACGTTTTAACTCTAACCACAACCATGAATGGCAGCTCCACAGCCTCTCCAACCCGATCGCTGCATTTGTTCGCTCCCTGTTTCTCGTCGAAGATAAACATGTTACCAACAAGCCTTTTTTAAACCATGTGCAGAAATCTTAAGGGTTATGCAACTTTTTGGCATGGTTATATCTTCTCATTGGTGCCCTGTTTCGATATCGATAGTATTTCCAGCAGAGAAATGGTGAATAATCAGCCAAATGAAGAGAAGGAAAAGCCAAATTGGTATTTGATATTTCACTCCTAAGAGAGAATCAAGTCAAAAATCAGTCGTTCTCAGTGCAGAGATTATGTTTCATAATCGTCGATGCCATTCGAATCCATCAAACAAAAGGCAAGAGGTCTTATTCTCCCCCTACACCCTTCAAACTCTAAGAACCGATTGGTCCAAGTACTCATCGTTACAAAGCATGCTACTCGGATAGGACAATATCGACTTCCAAAACAATATAATCAAGATTATTGGCCTAATTAACCTCTCCTACATCCAATATAAGATTATGTGAAAATTCTACAGAGACCTATCACACTATATCAGAGAAAATTCTGGTCGAACTGATCCAATTCAATCTCTACAACAAACATCTAGAATCTCAAGTCAAAAGATAACTTTAAGGGAAAAAAAACTACTTCTCACCATCCATGGGCATGCTTTTCAACCCTAAAAACTACCACCTTGAAACTTTCCCTAGCACGGAAATCGATGTCCATTGACTAGCAGTTATCTTGGACAAATATTTAGGTTTATGATGATAGAAGGAAAACTTAAACAAAAATGGATTTAATGTATTAATCTGATAAAAATCAGATCAATGATTCGACATACTACCTCCTCTATAATTACATTCAACTTTCAAAAATCTACTACTTTCACAAAGATTAGAAAAACTGACATTCTCTACAAACAAAATGTAAAATCAGCCACCCCATGATATGTTTGTTCCCTAAAATGAAGAGAATACCACTCCCAAAATAGCAATTTCCAGTACAGAAAATGAAAAATGAAAAATGAAATCATCAATGGATTAGTGATTTTTCTAACTTTTTATTTTGTTCACTAGTGTCCTGATTTACCAAGTGCAGATACAGAAAGTAACCACCAAATACATACAATCAAGAAATGCCTACTATCTGGGTATTGATTGATCATAACACTATCAAGCACAAGATTTGATTCAATTACAGACATGAATACCACATACTGATTACAAAATACATCAAACATATGATCGACAACCAATCGATACGATTGGAAAATCAAATGATAAGAGTATGTCTCCTTTTGTGATCAAGGAAACATCTTTTAATGATGTGAAAGCTTAAGATACAGTATGAGGATGATTACGAGTACCAAAACGCCAATTACTGACCCGACTATCCATTTATTTCAACTGATTCTTCGAGACATCGTGCTTAGAACCTTTTTACTCTTGTTAATGGCATCATCTAACAATTATCACAATGACAAAAATCAGTTAGAAATGGAAATGAGTTGGACACTAATGCCATCAAAGAAAATTTTACTGGTATGTGACTAAGACCTTACTCACTAGCAAGATTTTAAATATTGATTTGATCAAAAATGTTAAATCTTAGTTGCATCATTCATGGAAATTTAAAGTTTGCTGGCAACAAGTAAGCACCATCATAAATCCCAATTTCCCATTTACTAATGGTATGATATAGAGTTTAACTGCTAAATAGGTACTAAAAAAATATGTAGGTTTAAATACCACATTGGTCCTTGTACTTAGGCTAGTCCCTTTACTTTCAAAACGTCCATTTTAGTCCTTGTACTTTTGACTTTTATTCATTTTAGTCATTGTACTTTCAAAACATCTATTTTGGTCTCTATACTTTTAAAAAGTGATAATTTCGTCCATTTATGTAATTTTTATCTCATTTTTCGATCATAATTTTAGCTCGATACTTCACTCAATAAATTTCTTGAAATGTAACCATAAATTTGTATTAAATATTTTTCATTTTGTATAAAATTTGTGTTAAAATTTTGTAAAAATAACCAAATTAATCACTTTTTAAAATTACATCAACTAACAAGAACTACTTGGAAGTATAAAAACTAAAATGAAAAAAAGTTGAAAGTACAGAAACCAGACCAATATAAACATTTTAAAAATATAGGGACCAAAATGAACCAAAGTCAAAAAAATACTGAGACCAAAATAATATTAAGTTACTATCTAATGCATGAGTATAATCCAGGCTCACCTATCATATTTTCCCCTAAAATTCAACTCCTGGCATCCAAATTATGTAAAGCATCATACAAGATAATCATATCAAGAGATTACTAGCAAACTTTTTGGTTCTGTACATAACTCAGCAAGGTAATACAAAACAATAAGTACACGCTTTCATTCAAGGATGAATGATAATACACCTCCACATTCAATCTATGCCTAGTTGTACGATATGTATAACAACACTAACAAACATCATTCATTTATAATGAGCCAATTTTAACTCTGGGAACTATGTGATCAAGAATTGCAAAGAGAAGAAACGCCTTAACGAAAACGACGAAAGCCTGGAAGTTTGTTAGGGTGTACCTGGCTCTCAAACATGCTCTCACTTTCATAGCCTCTCTCTAATTGTATAGATCCGTAAACAAAGCAAGCTCCAGTATAGATGTGCCCTATCATCCGTTCAGTAAATTTAAGAATTACTGGATGGGTACAGACTAATTCTAGACAAAAACTTTGTCCTGATGCTGAAGTATATGCATAGTGACATCACTAGCAGAAACAAGTTTGAGATTTCCAACTGAATAATACTACCCTCCAGTTCCAGCACTGTCTGATGCTACCCTTTCAGTCCAAGAAACAGAATTCACTTCACTGGATGTTACGCCGCCTTTTTCACCCTGACCGAGTAAGTGGTCGGAATCTTGATCCGGGAAAACCTCGGATTGCAACGGGGGAGAAATGTTATTTACATGCAGCCATGTGAGTTCCCACAAGCCATCTCCACCTAGCGCACTCCTTTGAACTAGCACCCCCTTAGTTTTCATAACAAGCAAGGTGTTCTTGAGCAGTTCAGGAACTAGCTCTTGAAGCTTTTCACTTCTTTTCCCTCTAACTTTAGCTTTTGCATACTTTTCCATTCGGCTAAGAACACCAAGCCATAGTTTGCAAAAGTTTGTTAACTGAGAAAGATCCTGGAGCAACAGTAAGAACACTTTGGACAAGAGTTTCATGGCAAGGATCAGTGTCCCTTCCATGTTTCTGTAATCCTTCTGAGAGTGTCCTTGTGCAATTTCAAGTAAATCATCGAGCATTGTGAAGATCACAAGATCGAAACACTGTGACCACAAACCATGTGGAAGGTGGATTTCATCAACACTTATCAAACACTTCTGGAACGACAGCAGGGCCTGGTTTCTAACCTCCTCTCGTTGGTCCAAACAAACTTTTCTCAACCCTTGCACAAGCCTCAGCCACATGTCTCCAATATCTTGTGACATTTTAATTGCTTCCTCCTCCCTTGCAGCTTCCTTACCCTCCCTAGCCCACCGTGCTAAACAATCAACAGATCCAGCCATAAGATCCAATGCGCGTAAAGAGCGTTCAGCCTGTCCAACACGAGACTCAGCAAATTTCCTTGAGGCATCTATGCAGAGGGTATAATTTGCTGGTAACAAGTAAGCACCGTCAGATACAATGAATAGTAGCGCATCAAATCCTGCCTCAGATGCTTCCGGGTGGCGAGCTGTAATCGAGAGTAGGGATGTTATTGTTCGCCATCCAGATGGGGATCTAATATGAGAGGCATTTGCTTTTACTAGGCGACTTACTTCCTGTGTAATTTGCTCACAGTATGCATCAGCAACCCGAGCATCTAGCTTCAAGACAAGTTGCAAAGATCTCAAAAGTTCATCTGCAAGGTTCTCCTTATAAGGAAGCAACCGCTGGCAGATACGGAGAAGTCCAAAAACAGCTTTCTCCACCAGGGCACAGGGCATGACAGTTGACTGCACAATAGTAGATATGTGATCATAAACACCTGGCCAAAGAAGCACGATTCGATCTCGATTATTCAGAGTAATGGCAATCAGCAATTCCAGACAGAAGACTGCAGTATCTTCATCCTCAGGAGAGCTGTTTCCTTTCTGGGGCCGTCCGGCAGCCCATATGAGTGCTTGTGCCAGCTGTAATAGAGATTCAGCCTGAAGAAACTTGCTCTCTGTAAAAATGCTGTCAATATTGCACTTCTGAATAGTCTGAAGGGTACGCTGATGAGCAGCAAGTTGTTGTTCGGTAGGCTGTGACCTTGGCTCCTCAGTGTCAAGTGATAAGAGCTGACTAAACCGTCCCATCAATCCGGAGGATCTCTTGGGAGTTCCAATTGACTGTATATGAGCAGCAGATAAAGAACTTGTAAGCGGCTTTCCGTGCCCAGTGTCAGTAGAAAGTTCTGATTCATCAGCTGCATCACTGGCAACACGGGCTGGGAGAAGACCAAGCTTGTGCAACCGTAAGATGCAATCAAGGATGTTTCTCCAACCTGTGCGAATGATGTCACCATACCTGTTGGCAATGGTGAAAACTGTCATAGTCGCCATCCTAGCTTTTGTATCATCACCAAAGGCCAGCACAGGCTCCTCAACAGATGATGGGTTCAAGAGGGTCGTGAACTTGCAGAGGGACACAACAAGATCATCAAGTACATCTTCAAGATGATGGCACGCGGAGATCTTTGCAACACCTAAGAATCCATCAATACATGTTTTATAGACTTCTTCATGTTCTGCATGATCAAATACCACGGATATAGCAGCAATTGTTGGCCCTGACATTATAGCAAATATGTCACGATCAAGGTAGGCTTTAGAATCAGACACAATGAATGGAGAGGATTTCTTGGATTTAAGCATCAGATCTATCCATCGGCTCGGGGTCATTTCAGGAAAACTATTGCCTTGTTCCGGAGTCGTACGAATCTCGTTCTTACAGATTGAGTGATACAACTCAGAGAGGAAATCTCTTGGTAGATCATTGCCTCCATTTATGTGCCTGCTATTCCGAATGAAATCTTCTTCCGTCATCTTCTTTTTCACTTGAACATTGTGCTGATCTGTATTGAGCATAATGAGTGAATATGATAGTAAAAGAGCAGCATCCTTATTCACAAGAATTTGAGGTGACTGTTCATAATATCTCTCAGAGAATGCCTCAAGCACCCTTTGTATCTTCTGTGATTCTCCAGGGAGTCTGAAAGTTTCCAAAAACAGTCGCAAAGCAGTATCCAAATTCATGTCCTGAAAATCAAAAGTCCAAGCAAATTCATGAAGAACCTGGACACAAAACTCATCGTGATTTCCAAGGAAGTCCCCAACCAGATTTTTATCCAAACCAGCAGTGTACCTGAAAAAGCAGGCTACACTTTTGGGATCAAGTTTATCGGGCAAGAGATGGGTTCCTTGAAGGAACTCCAGACCTTTCTTGGGATCACGGTTAAAGTGATCAGCTCCAATCATTAACCGTCTCTTGATGTACTTTTTCCTTCTCACAAATGGAACCCATTGATTAGGATCACTGTAATTTTCACATTTTACCATCCAGAAAGGAGTATATTCCTCAAGATTCACAGGACTATTTTCTAGGCCTGTTCCATTACCTATCCTCTCCGCCATTCCCTGAATAATGGCAATAAGACCATCCAAAGCGAGGATATGCGTTGAAGACAAAGGACTATTAACTGGAAAAGCACTCTTTGACAGAAGATTAGCAAGATCTTCAAAGATATTACTGCAAGTTATGTCACAATCTAAGTTTGCATACATCTCCACCATAAATGTCTTCTGCCTGCAGAAATCAACAAGAGCCTCCATGGCAACCTCCTGCTGCTGGTATGAAGCCCCATACCTACTTTGAGCAAGCCTCAAAATTACACATGAAAAAAAAGCCTCAAGCTGCAACTTTAGCTCAGTGCGCAGATGGTGGTATAGATTGAGAACAATGCTACAAACCATTGAAAGGATTAGCGAGCTTGTTGATAAACCAAATTGCATAAGATTTCGAAATAGTTCATCTTGGATTAAACTCAATAACCTAGGGTGATGCCGGAAGGAAGGGCCACCCAGCTCAATTGCTGAATTTATCAATCCCAAGGCAAAAAGAGGAACATCTTCATCAAAAGCCATTGTATTTGACCTAGCTCCCAACTCCATATGCTCAACTAGATTTAACAATGAACAGAGGAATCTAAAAATTTCCACCATGCAGGGTACCCCATAAGGTTCATTCATGAGATGAAAGTTAAATGGAACAGTATCCTTCGTGCTACCATCCTCAAGTAAATTTTCCTCCATCCCAGTTGCCATCGGACCTGATGAAGAATTGGATTGAAAATTGTTGGATGATGATTGACAATCAAATGCATGGCCCAAGTTTCCATTCTCCAATAGTCTACTTCCAAGCACATGGTCATCATTAGCCGCTGTACCAGCCTGCACAAGAAAACACTGTTTCATAAATCCATTTAACAATTTCTTTTTTTCTTTTATTTATTCATTTATATATTTATTTTTGACAAAGGGCAGCTTAACAGTTTTAATATAAGATAATATGAAAAACCCAACATTTTTTTTTTGATACAACATGTGGGGGTAGGGGTTCGAACTAATAACCTCTTGGTCAAAGATAGATGTCTTAACCACTTGAGCTATGTTCGGTTTGACGAAAAGCCCAACATTTTAAAAGGCTAAAAGCATTCTTCAGGCTTTTTCTCTAAAAGAAGTGAGGCATAAGCCTCATTGTAAATGTAATAAAGAACACAAAAAAACGCAAAACCATGTATTATGGACATAATGATTTTCATAATATAAAATTGGAAAGACAAAAGGATGTGTTCCATCAACTTTCACTTCCTTAAATAAAGATTATAAAGATCATTCTCAACATCATCACCATTATGCTAAGAGGATTACCTTACTCTTTTATTCCACCGTTATTTTAGTTACTGTGGCACAAGTGGACGTCCTATTTTGAAGAATATGTAATAAATTGATGTTATTCTTCTATATATTAAATGAGGTACAAATACTTTTAAGCCTTAGTGCGTTCTCTCATGGAAGCATAAGCCCCTTGTGAACCAAAGAAGCTTGAAGCTAATAATTTCTGTCTCAACTCAAGTATGTCTCTTATGAACCAAAGAAAGCATAAGCCACGAGACTAAAAATTCAAGTCTCCTAAGAGGTAAGCCTCAAAAGCCTTTTAAAAGGCTGTAGAAACTTAATACTAGTATATAATGAAATTTGATATTTCAACTATGTAAAAATCTTGTCTTGTCTAGTGGTTAATAAGGACCAATGTAAATAGTTAAGGACTTAGATGTGATGGATTTGAACCATGGTGACCACCTACCTAGGTTTTAATGTCTAACGAGTTTCCTTGGCAATCAAATGTAGTAGGGCGAGCGATTGTCCTGTGAAATTAGCTGAGATGCATGTAAGCAGATCTGGACAATCATAGATACAAAAAATAATAATAATAATAATAAATTTGCAATTTTAACCCCATTTTCCTCATTACCATCACTACGTAATAAATCTCAACCACATATAATATACCAATCAACACACTCCTGACTCCAATTATCTAAAATCCATAATTTGAACCATATCACTTTATTTAATTTATGAGCCAAAATTTCAAAGGAACTGAAAGATACGTGAAAATGCATCTATATGCTTCCTTTTTTCACATGGCTGAGCGGAGTCCATGATCCAACTCATAAAAATGGGATATTATCTCTCTCTCTCTCTTTTTTTTTTTTTTTGATAAGAAACAATTTCATTGATGGATGAAATTACAATGAGAGGGGTGAACCCACCAAAAAACCAATGGAGTTACATAAAACTTCTCCAATTGGTTAATAAAGAGTTCATACTATAAGAGTGAAAATAGGGGGGTTGTATTACGCCAAGACATAGCATCAGTATTTTCGAGGCGCAAGACACACCTCAAGGCGACAAGCCTTTTGATCGCCTTGAGGCGAGAGGCGATACAAAGGCGACGTCCGAGTGAAGCGAGGGGCACCTTAATAAATAAATAAAAATTATATATATAGTGCATAAATTTATATAGTAAACATAGTTTAAAAAATAAATACCAAAATAGTGCATAGTAAATGTCAACAAGATACATAAAACAACCAAATTCAATAAATTTAGTCGAAGACGGGAGCGGCGACGGTGATGGTCGGAGATGGGAGCGGGCGATGGCCGGAGATTGAGGGTGGTGAAGGTGAATGTCGAGAGGCAGAGAGAATGGTTAGGGATTGTGAACTGAGGTATTTTGCGAGAGAGAAAGCTTCTTTTAAAAAAACACATTAAAAATTAAATATATATATATATATATAAAGTTCTTTTAAAAAAACACATTAAAAATTAAAAATTATATATATATAAGGCAGATCGCCTAGCTTCAACGAGGCGATCGCCTGGCCTCAGGCGAAAGGCACACCGAGGCGAGCGCCCGATTGAAGACACTCGCCTGGGCACCTTGTAAGGTGCACCTGGGCAAAATCGGTTTGCCTCTCAGGCGTCAAAAAGATTGATGAAAGGCAACTCCTTGTCAAGAAATAGTCTATGTTATGTTTCCTTTCATTCCAAAATGTCCAAAGAAAGGCTCGAATGAAGTGCTTCCACATAATCTCTTGAGCTTTCTTGAAGGGGTGACCCACTTGGACAAATGAAAGCAAGACTTGGATGTCAAAGGGGAGAGCAACAGTCCAATCAAAAGCGTGAAGAATCAAATTCCAAAAATCCTTGGCCATTGAGCATGTGTGAAAAAGATGGGAGGGCGATTCCCCATCTTTTTTGCATAGTATGCACCATTGTGGGGAGAGGACCATGAAGGGTAATCTTTTCTGAAGCCTATCTGATGTGTTGATACCCTTGTGGGCAAGTTCCCAGATGAAGAACTTGGTTCTTTTGGGGTAAGTGTCTTTCCAAATGGCTTTGGCAAGAGTTGAATGCAGGAGAGATCTCTTTGGAGCCATGTCAGTGAGAAGAGTCTTGATGGAGAAGGAACCATTTTTATCTAGTGGCCAAATCCATGAGTCCTCACGTGCATGGAGGAAGGTGGATTCTAGTTGATTGGATAATGATGCCCAGTCCGTTATTTCCTCTTCCTTTAGAAAGCGTCTATAGCCCAAGTCCCAAAAATTAAGATTTGGGTTCCAAATCTCTTTGACAGAAGCTGTTTTCCGAACTGAGAGGGAGAAGAGGCGAGGGAAGGTTGAGGCCAAAGGGGTATCAGTCAGCCAAGAATCATGCCAGAAGGAAGTTGATGCCCCATTTCTCACTTTGGAAGATATTCTGTCAAAGATGAGGTGCCTCTGCTTGTATATATTCCTCCAAGGACCGCGTGCTATCTTAATGGATTTAGATCCAGGTTTAGTGTTGAATGCTTCAGCTGTATATTTAGCCTCGATGACTCTTCTCCAAAGTGCAGATTTTTCAACTCTAAAGCGCCAAATCCATTTTGCAAGGAGGGCACAGTTATTGTTTTGCAGCCTGTGAAGACCGAGACCTCCTTGATCAGTTGGGCACAAGACTTTCTCCCATTTGACAAACTCTTCTTCTCGTGGAATTTCAATCATAGTGGTTTATAGAACATGAACTTGATGAAGTGTCAACGGGGCAGCAGATACATTCATTACCAAATACCTTATGACCTCGGTAATTAACATGCAATAGAGATGAACTGTTAAACAGTTGACACTAAGATCTAACAACTCCTCCACTAGTATAAGGTATGCTTCAGGGAAGCATAAAAGGAAAGCGGTCTCTTATCTTCCGTACAAACTGCGGCACCCTGCGGATCTAACGGTCCACTGTAGCAGAGTAAGCTGAAAAAGCCCTCTCCGTCGAGATTACTACCTCAGCCCTGTCCTATCATCTGTATAATGGGGTTTGCTAATTCTTTTTTAATGTAGTTGACCAAATCCATTCTCGATTTTGAAAAAGTGGAATCCTTAACTCTTCGGAGGGGCTGATTGGGATTGTTTGAGCAACTTACGTAATCATTGACCTCTTGCCAAACCATTTGACACTTAAGCAAGTGGTTAGCTGACCCGTTTCAAGATAGTCTGATTTCAAATAGCCCGCTGATTCCGAGAAATTTGCCTATCTTTTTTCAGCYGCCTTCTCTTTCCTTTTCATTACAAACAAAGTGGTTTCAATAAACGATTCTTTCTCTACTGCTTCCTAACGGCGATAAAGAGAAGAACTGTGAACTAATAGACAAACAAACTCATTTTTGACCTATTGGTCCTAGTATCATAGGCGACATCGGGCAAAATGCTTGGCTCCCTGCACCAGTAGTGGTTTCTCACCTGTTATGTAAAATTCACATAAAAAATATATATACATTGTTCTCCCTATGAACATGTCCCTCTCCCTTGTTCTCAATTACTCATCAAATGGCACTCAGTTCATATTTTTAAGTTAGATCAATGCAGGCCCCACATATCTTCAATCTCCACCCCCAAACAATTCCCTGAATTGGAAATGAAGAGAATAAACGTTAATTTGATCTTGATCTCTGAAAAGGGGATTTTTCTCCTCTTTTGATAGGGCTTTGTCATTTGATCCAATAGCGTTCCCTTATCTCGGAACAGATTATATAAATCTTGATAACTCTCGGAGGGAGTATTAGAACGGAAAAATCCATTAGATAATGAACGAGAGGTTCTAAGCCTGAACTGCAGAACTGGTGATGAATCAACCTTTTTGTAGAAAGCTCGACCAGCGAGAAAAAGTGTTTGGCCGAAGCCAAAAAGAGGATGATGTAGTCTCTTCTCGTAGAAACTCTCTAGGCACTTCTCAAGTTATCTGCAGAAATTCTATTGGTTGAGGTGAGAGTATTTGGCTACATAAGCTCCCATGTGGTTTAGAATGAGTATCCACATAATAGCTCACTTCTTCCTCTCATTCAAAACCGTGCGTGAGATTTCATCTCGCACAAAAAATATAATAAGATAAAAGATTCTAACAATAATACATTTGTAAGCCATTGTTTATCGTTGTACCCAAAATAATTAAAATCAAATTGAGAATGCTGTAAAATATGACCTTGGTGCAACAGGTATCTCATAAGTCATAATATATATCATCCGATTTTGATATTGATAAAACCAGCCGGAAACAGGAAATTTTTTCTATCACTTTAGATTCCAAAAAAGACTGAAATTAAAAATGAAAAAAGATATAAGATATAATTCATACCCAGAGATATTAGTACGGAAAGTATGCTGAAAAGAGACCCTTTTCATAAGTTAAAGTAACACTACCGTGCAAAAATGAATAAATTTCTTTTTAATTCAGCTTCGTTTCCCATCTTAGTCCCCTAAGATCCCAGCCAGCAATAGGCAAAAATGACAATTTAGCTATGGAGAAATGCCGAGAATAAATTAGTACCTCCTGTTTGCTGGAACTATTGCCACCGACCAGTGCACGTTCTGTAGTATTGATTCTTGAAAGATGTGAAAAGATACACCTAACAAGCTCATGAACTGTGTGGCGAGCTATCCGTTGCAATAGCTCACCCTTTGAGCCTGCTTGATGAACTATGCGAAAACAAGTATTCACAATGGTGCAGACATGCTGATTGCTCAACAWAATGGATGCCTTACTTTTCATACAAGCAAGAAGAACCTGAAGTATTTTCATCAGAACCATTTCTTCTGATGCAGGATCTGTTAACTCAAATCTACAACAGGTAACTGCATCAACTATCAAGTGAACAGCATCTCCAGCATTAACAGTGTTTTGATCAATCATGTCAAGAGTTAAGATCTTGTACACAGAAGATAAAGCAACCCCAGTAATAGGTGGCCCAGTTTCATCCGATCTAATTACATCTAAAAATGGTTGAAGATACACAGCAGGGTTGATTGTATGCCATGGATGCTGCCATGAATATATCTGCCTTCTTAATGCCTTCAGTGAATGAATTAAAGAGTGTTCTAATTGATCATCACCTGACATATATCGACCTCCCCATCTTACATTTCTTCTCATTACTGCCAATACAGCACCAATTTCTGAATTAATCATGCAAGCTAAAGCAGTTTTATTTGTATATGTGACATCACACTCCTCAGGTTCTTCCTCAATTGCATTTATTCCAGTTTGCAGCTTCAAGCGCCCCATCTTTGCATATGTTCCCTTCACAGTACTAAAGTTTACCAAGTACTGTGAGAATAATGAGCAGAAACCTTGCTAATGTGCACAATCACTGCTTACATGGATAAGAGAAACATATTAATAAGCAATTGTAAATTAATTGAGCTCAACAGGTTAAAAGTTGGCATGATAACCTCACCTAAAATATTCACAAAAAGAAAAGGTGCACTCACACAGTTCCCAGGGGGAAGAAAGAAAAATTAGATAACCCTCCAAAGCTAAATTTAGGTTTCAAATTCCAAGATTGACCCTTTTGGCTCCTTCACGGGTCACGGCGAAATCTGCCTTTCTCCAACTCACCAAATCGAGAGCTAAACTCAAATCCCCCTTGGATCCGGGAGTCCAGAGTGCCTAAGAAAGTAAAGTTACTTCATATGGTCTTTATCTAATAGAAGCATAAATACCACAGAGAAGTTGCAGAAGACGTTTCTCCATTGGATTCTGTCCCCTTCCATCTACTATTTATGTGTTAAGGAAGCACATGAGGTAATTATGCTTCTATTAGATAAAGACCATATGAAGTAACACACAAATTAGACTTTCAGCAGTGCGCAAAATTTCGTCGCAAAAAGTGTAAGCGGAATCAAAAGCCATCAAGCTACTAAAATAACTCAAATAACGCAAAACCACATACATTGTTACCTCCCAAACTTCAAACTATAAAACATTTCTCTGAATTGGTAACATAGAAAACATGTTATTATCAGAAATCATAACGTCACAGAAACAGACTCAATAATCAAAAGTATAAGCATAAACACAAAGACGCTAACTCGGTAAATAATGAAACCTTACGAAATGAACATAAAAACACTAACTCGCTTTATGAACATATAAGCAACTAAAGTTCTCATAATTTGTGAATATAAATAACTAAACTTATGAAATGAACATAAATACACTAACTCGCTCAAAAATTTAAACCTTATGTACATAATACAAGCTATGATTACCAATGCTCACACTCAGGACTTAGCTAATAGCATGTTTCTTTTGAATGCTAAGTCAATGGAAGGCTAAGTCGCAATTGGTAAGGGTGTTTCTAGCTAATCTCTTTCCAAATCCTCACAAATGCATATGTACTACCACAAAATTTTCCTTGCACAAAAATTTTAACCATTTTCTTATAAGAAACATACACACTTATTTCTACAAATTTCTCACTTACCCTTTTTCTGTCTTCCAATTCCTCACGTCCCTCTTATACCACTTGTATTGTATTGATGGGTCTAATATTGTACACACTTAATTTACAATTTGTTCACTTAACTTGGTTTTTTATAAACATTTTTTGGTAAATCAAACCCATCCATATGAATGAACACAAGATTAGAAAGAGTTAGATAACTGTCATTTTATATATATTGTGCCAAGCATTATTAATAGAAAATTAAAGACTTATACAACAGCATATGATGTATGACCACTGTAGGCAGCAATTAGATATTTATACATCCCCAACATTTTCTTAAAACAAGAAAAAATTACCTCGAATACAAATCAAAGTGGCGACAAGAGAACTCAACTAATAGTTTGTTAAAAATAAATCTATAATAGAAATAGATCTGTAATAAGAATTAGGTTACGAAAACAGGATCCGTAAGAAGGAAAAAAAACGATAGAGAGAGAGAGAGAGACTATACCGTCTGAGATGGTGGATGGGCTCGACGTGGAGAGGGCGGAACCGCGAGTGAGAAGACAGCATTGTTTGGGAGATTGGAATGGTGGGGTATAGAGACACAGAGAATCGATTGAATGAAATGGGAGAGGAATCGATTGACAGAAGAACCGAAGGGGAGAGGAACAGAGATGCGGCGACGGGAGATCTCAGCACGCCGGCGACGGGAGGAGCAGATGTTCTCGGCGGCGACGGGTGCGGTCGTGGAGGAAGAGATGCGGCGATGTAGGTTTGGCCGCTGCTGTTTCATGGAGGAAGAAAGATAGAAGTGGAAAAAGTATTTGAAAAAAAACCGGTCCGGCTCGGTTCAATCCATAATTGTGTGAACTTAAATCACGCAAAATCATCTTATAATTTAAAAATAACAATTAAGTCAGTAACATTAAAATCATATTCACAAAGCCTAATGGGAGCCTAAATTGATTAAGACATATATAGCCTTTTTAACTCAAAAAAAAAAAAAAATTTGATTAAGACATATATCATTGAGATTCGAATCCATACCCCACATATTATCCTAATGTTTGACTGTTTTTTCAATTTAGTTATATTATTTTAAAATTTTCAATTTAGTTCTCTTTTCTTTTTAACTGTGTGTCCGGACCAACTTGCACGCACCTAGACTAACCACGGGCCAACTGCTTGACCCTACTACATTTGGTTGACAAGGTAACTCGTAGGATATTAAATCCTAGGTAGGTGGCCACCATAGTTTAAACTCATCCCCTCTAAGCCCTTTGCTATTTAGATTGGCCCTTATTTCAATTTAGTTCTCTTATATTATAAGATTTTCAAGTTAGTCTCTCACGATCCGTAAAGGTTAAGATTGATGAAGTATAAAGTTACAGGACACTAATTGACGGAAATTTAGAGGACAAAAAGATTATAATACTTAGTGAGTGGATGAAAAATTATATAAGAAAAAACATTATCTAAAGAGAAGAAAATTTTAAATTTATACTAATTTCTTAAAATTTTGGAGGAGGAATTAGAGACTTTCGTCTCTTAAATTATATATTTTCTTCTCCTCCAAATTTTCACCAATTTCGTGTAAATTTATCATTAGTTAGATTTAACTTACAAGAGATTATATTAAAACGGGTAAAACGTAAGAAAGAAAATTGAATTTTTTTTAATCAATCAAGACTAAATTGAAAAAAACACACAAAGAACTTAAAGATATACTTTCTCCTGAAATATTCAACCAACTAAAACAAATTGTATCATCTTTTTTTTTTCCTTTTTTTTCTTTTTTTGAAAAATAAAACTACAGGTAAGAATGTAGAAAATTGATCCTATTTAATTTTTAAAAATAATTAAATTGAATAATATTTCACCCACTTTAACATTTTAAAAGTTAAAAAAAATGTGTGCATTGCACACGGTAAAATATTAGTACTATTAAGTTCACGAATTACTCTTATTCGGTCTCGGACGATTTTCCTCCACACAGCTAGGTTTTTTACAATGGCTCTAATAATATTTATTAAAGATAAAGGTACCTAAGTATCTCCACGGTATGCTATTGCTCGCTTTTGGAAATAACTACCATTCGGCTTTGCTTTTGATTTCACCCAGAAAACCTCATATTAATGGAGATAATTGTCTTTCCTTATATACTATGTGTTGAAGGTGGAATTTCAGCTTACACGTGGCAAGAGATGGATGGGTCAAAAGTGTTACACGTGGCTCATAAGGGTGAATAAAAGTTTCGTCGCATCGGTTGTCCTATGTGCTGAGCCGATCTCCTTTGGTGGCTGAGCCGACCAAGTTCGCTCATAATCCTATTCCCATGTTATTGGTTGAACCGATTACTCTACCTCGGCTCAGTCTCATCTTCGACACACTCTACGACAACACGCCGCATTTCACGGCAACCTTAAAGAGTCGTTGAGGCCTTGTCGGCAACATTCTCGAGGATTAAAACACTAAATTTTCTCTCTAGTTTAGTTTGGCAGTTCACTGACTTTGGCATCAGAGTGCTTGTTCTATTTTGCATGTCCTCTACTCGGCATTCTAAGATCGCAGTCTAGTTCATCCTTGTCGATTTGACGTTCGCGGAGTTGAACAATTTCTTGATTTAACATTTGGCACTGTCTGTGGGGAGTCACTTTAATACTCTCAAGTCGTTCCCTACCAACCAACTGAGAACTGAGCAATGGCAATTCCACTCGCTCACAGCTGTCCCACACTCTTACCCCCGCTGGGGGACGAGATAGAGAACGTCGCACGTCGCACCTACTCTCGTAAGACCTACTCCCAGAATGTTGAGACATCCAATGGTTGTGTTCAGACTCGCCAAGGAGGCGAAGAACACCCTAACGTGGAGCATCCTACTGCTGGCGATAGGCTCACCGGACTGCCATCTCCTGAGAATAGGGGAGAGTTTGCCCCTTTCCTCCA